GAAAAATCATAAACCATGATGCCTGAGAGCCTCTTCTGCCTAAATCTTTCTCCTAGTGATAAGCTGATTTCAGATCTTTCCTGAGAGCATTCCTACTGCACCAGATGTCAGAAGTAAATGTACTGGTTTTCATTAGAAACTTGAACCAAATACATTAAACAGAACCTTTTGCTTAGACACAGTCTCATAATTAGAGAATGGACTCAGCCTTTTAAAAATTGTAGTTTAAAAGAGGCACAGTAAATGCTATTAATACAGTTTAGTTAAACAAGTGGAGATGTGTGAAACCTCTGACTAATTAAAATTGATTCCTGTACAGAAATTTGATATGTTTTTAAAGGTTTATGAACACTAATTAAATTTGTTTTTTTAGATCATAAGTCACCAACTGTTCATCTCAAAGTCTGGGTATTTTTTTGGTCTCTGTCTGGACAGAAAAATGAATTTTCCAATACATGAGTTATATTTTAGCATTAAAGAAAGCAGCTAAATTGTACATAATACAGTATAGAAATATATACACTTTAAAAACTGAAGTGTATTGAACACATATCTCAAAAGGTAAGAATATTAATTGATCCTATATTTAAGGTCTGATCCTTCTGCAAAACATGCTGCATTCAATCCCCAAAGTAACAAATTCAATAAACAATTATATACTATTGTATGCTGGAAACAGACAAGCCAAGCACAGAGAGCTCCTTTCATGCATCATTTTTGATTGTCCTACTTTGCTCTGTCAGGAACAGCAGTGACAGCTTAAGTGTTAAAGCTTTTTGACATTGCAACAAACCAAATAAAACCTAGTTGCACATTTTAGAATTTATTTTATACCACATCTAAAATACAAACAATATAGGGAATTTTCATTGCTTTCAAACAATAGCAGCCATTGGAGACTGTTTCTGGAGCTCGTGTTTTCCTCACATAAGGATTCTCACTAGCTGAGTAGCAAAAGCATGTTTGATAGCCAGCTTCAGGAGCCAGGCCGGCCAACACAATTATTGCACATTCTGTCAGCACATTTCCTCCCTACAGCTTTACTTCTACAATCTTTTTCAATATTGTTAAAATGAGCAATCATTTGTGATTCACACTCCCAAAAAAGGCATAAACCAACAATTCCCAATGGCTATAAATTATTAATGCAATTGTGCCAGTCACACAGAGCTTAGTGCTTTTAAAAATGGAATGAGATTATCTGCACAGTTATTTTCAATCAGATTCATCTCTTATTAGGGGGCATTATGTATATGGCTTGCTTTCAGAAAGCCATCTCCTTCAAAGAATATTGTTGCACAGTCATTTCTTGTGAAATACTATGCAAACTCTACATTAGATACCAAATCAATTTTTGTTTCAGGAAATAATTATATGTAATGGGTATTTTACTTTGTAGATAGACTGATTCTTTCCAAGTAAAAGTAAAAGTCTGTTCTGTTCTCAGTTTTTATTCCCATTCAAATCTCCCTGCTTTGAGTTGGTCCTCACTGATTTACACCAATCTAGCATAAATATGGCAGAACTTGAGGCTGTGGCAAATCTTTTTTGCTGCAATAGCTTTAACAGGCTGTAATAGAAAAGTTTGCAAGTGTTACTGTACAATGTATCTGTTAAAACAGCTGGGCCACACAGCTGTCTCAAAAAATACAAGCTAGAAAATCTTCCTCTCTGGTATATAAAAATCTAAAACAATATTATAGAGCAGTAGAGATTCAAAGGATGTGAGTTTCAAGGTCAGTTTTGGGGAATCCAGAGGGTTGTCTCCTTGTACAGTCTCTCTGCTTCAATGTTTGTTAGATTTTGGACTGTGTTGCCAGGGCCTGCACTGGAAGCCATGTGGAACAGCCTAAATGAACAGGAGACACAGGATGATTTTATATTTACTGTTGCATTTTGTAAGAGGATTGGAAATTTGTCTTTGTGCTCCCAACTCCCTATGACTTATTCAAATTATTCCAACATCATGCCATGGAGCCTGGCAAGATACCAAACACAAAGAAACTGGAACTGAATTCAGTGCTGCCTCAAGCTTCAGGAGCAGGAGTATTCCCTTGGGAATGACTGGCTAGCAAGGTGGAATCTGGCCTGCATTAAATGAAGATATTTTGAGAGCTGAAATACTGAAACCACAAGGATAAAGAGACAGAAGTACATAAGCATGTTGATGTAAAGGAACTTAAATATGTTGAGTCAACAAAAACATCAGTGGTAGCTCTTAACACATGCTTAACTGCCCTACTTAATCTAGGCCAAGAAGCTCTCAGTTTCTAAGACCCTTGCTTTTTGCTGCAAGCATTACAATATTTTATCTTCTGTATTGGTGGGAAAATGATCTTTAAAGCACTGGGCTGTCAAAATGCTGCACCAGGATTTTGCTATATTATTTTACATATTTCAGCTCTGTAACTCGAGTACTGGCAATCCTCGGATCGAGCACCTCTTCTACAGCATGGGGAACTGTCTGCTTCTCACGGTCATAAGCCATGGTGCCATTTAACAACATGAATTCCCATCTGTGAATCTCCTTCCTGCCATTCGCCTTGTACTTCATTTTTCCCATCCAGAAGTCTGGCAATAGTTTCTCTCTATTATTCTGATAAGAGTGTGGGTCAAACTCATTCCACTGTGAATGTGCATTTGTGCTTGCAGAGTGAGTGATTGATTGGTATCAGGCAGAAGTGACATCTCCTGTTACATTTCTGGCATGTTATTCTGTGGTTAATCAGTGCTACTGAGTGTCAGTCAAACCTACCAGATGTGACTCTAATGGATAGCTGCTGGTTGCCTGATGTCTATTTTGTCACTGATGTGACTGGAGTGCACCTAAAAGTTATTAAAACAAAAAAAGGGGGAAAAAAGAGAACATAGCTAAGCAAGAATGTGGAAACTGTATTTAGAAAGTAGCTGTATTTGTATGACTCTTCTGTTAAATATTGTCAGATGATTTTTTTCAATATTAATTAATCACAGGACTACCACCCTTGTTTGATCAGGGAAAGATTCATGCAAAAGAGTACTTGGGATTTTTTGATGTGTCTTGTGGGCGGTAAAAGATTGTTATTCTTAATTTAGTTATTTAAATTCTTAGCAGTTCTGGAACACATGCATTATGAATAACCTTCACCAAAAACACCACAGAAACTTCTATTATGACTGTACCTTTTAGGCTGAAGCAGAGTCCCATTGAATTAAACATGTCATGAAGACAGAAAGGAAGTTTGTTCTTTCCCAAAAGGTGCCTAAAAATCAGTCATAGTGAAAAACTGAAATTATTTTCATTTAATTACAAACCGCAAATCCATCCAGCTTTATACACAGTATGAATCAAAGACTGAAACTTGAATAGTCTAAGACTCCTTTTCCATTCTGGTTGATACCTGAGACTGGCTCTAGAATTATCAGTTATTTGACAAGCAGCACACTCGAACTTACAGCTCATAACTATGACTTAGATTAATCAGATTGCAGATATTTAAGTGTATTTATTCAAGTACCATCTTTAGCAATTGCTCATCCAATTCCACTGGATCAAGGCTTTATTTATGGATCCAAACAGAGCTGATGTAAATTTTTTAACAAAAGGCCAATTACTTCATTGTTGTTTAAGATTGTGTTGTGTTTTACTTACATGTACACAAACTTTTATTGTGCATTTGCCATTTCATGAGTAGGTAAATCTGCTGCCTGAATGTTTTTTCTTCTCATCTTTTAGCTTCAGGAATATTATTTCTTTTAGCAATTATGGATTCAGAAAGCTTGACTGGCATTTGAAAATAAAAGTAAAACATGTAACACAGCCAAATTCTGCTCATCCTATTCAGTTTTACCAGAATCAACAAGGTCAGAGAAGGAAATGCTTGATAGGGACTAGAATAGAGAAGGGGTATGACTTACATGTCCTGAGGCCTGTCAAAAAGCAAATTTCAAAACTACCTCCACATCTGAGATTTTTAAACTGTGAAAAACTTATTTGGAATATATAAATCTTAAATTTCAGGGTAAACAGGAGGTGGACCTGATTCAAAAATTGCAGCAAATCACCATTTTTTGCTTTCTGGCTTCATTTTATTTTCAGACCTGAATTTTAATATGGTATAATTGATAAATGCTCATTTCTGAAGAAGACATTGGATCTAAAATTTAATTATCTTGAAAATTCCGGGGTAAGTTCTTGTCCTAATGCAAATCTATATCTGCTGACGGCTGACAAAATTCATCTTCAAATGTATTCCCAATCTAGAGATCAAAAAAGTGCACATGATGTCTAATGGAGATCATCAGGAAGGCAGTTTTTCTAAGGAACAACATCAAAGAATTTGTTATTTTATTTTTAAGCAGACTTTAATTTAAATAAAGCATGAATTATAAACCTTGCAATGAGAATGAAGATGGTAATTGTGCTTTCTTTTGGTCTCACAGTGAACATGACCCTTTCTTTTCCAACATCTTAGAAAATATTGATATATATTTAATGCAAATCAAAAATTGACCTTAATTCACAGACCTAAAACATTTATATGCCTTTGTTGCTTTTAATTTTCAGTGAAAATGACATGGTATCTTAAACACACCCCCAAACAGGATTGTGGTGGTTTTACATTTTATGACTAGGGCAAGACAAAGATCAAACTCATTAGTTCTAAAGCTGGAATTCTACTGAATAAAATAGAAAGAAAGCTGGAGGTTTGGCACTTTTCTGATGGGTCCTGATGGGCTTTTCATATTACCCATAAATCATGTAAAAATAATATGTTAAAGAAGAATTCTGAAGAAGAAAATCTAACCTTACCACCGTCATATCTCCCTGCAGCTGAATTAATAATACTGAGAAATGTAGGGAAACTATGAATTATTCTAAGAACTCAGAATTCTGCAGATATTATGTTTTACATCTTCAAACTTAATATGTGTAAATGTATGCATGTGTCTCTCCACAGCTGTACACAATCCAGTCCACAGTTCTTTACGTGTGACTTCCTTGCACCATAAACAGACAATTCACCATAAGCAGCTTTAATAATTCCTTGTAAGCAAGTAAAGTACACAAACTCAGAGAGGAGGACACCAGATGTGGATAACATTGATAACATCAAGAGAAAAGATCTAGATGTGATTTTAGAAAATAGAGCAATTTAGCAATAGGGATATTTATAGTACTGAGGCACAGAAGAAAGATGAAGCTAAAGTTAGAAAGTCAAAAGGACCAATCAAGAAGAGGTAAAGGAAATGTCGTTATAACTCAGTCTCTCACAAATGAAATGATCACCTCTATGATGTGCATTTCAATCCTCACTTGTACATGCTAGAAAAATGGAACACTGAACAGGAGAATTTTAAATTACATAAACCTCTATAAAGGGGCTAAAAAAACCATCACAAAGCTGGCTTCATCCCATTAGGAATTTAGGGAAACCACGCTTCCACTCTGTTTATCAACTCGCTCATCCCTGCCTATGCTGCAACAGTACTTCTGTGGAACTTAATTAACTGGTATCTATAAAGTACTGCAAAGTTAATAATAAAGTGTCTAAGCAAGTACAAACTCTTACTGTTTTTAATATGGAGACTTGTTCTTTGGAAAGGGATAAAGTTTTGCTGCACACATATGAATAGGTTAGGCCCCTAAAAGAGAAGTGAAGAAAAAAAAAATAGAGAATCAAATCCCATAGTATAAATCGCAGTCTCTCAATTTAAAAGTATGAGGAAAAAATAGCTGAGAAGATGAAACATAAAAAAAGAGTAGTAAGCATTTTGTACTGTAGGTAATACTTCTTGTGTGCAACGAAAATACAAAGCAGAAAAATAGCAAATTCCAAAAAAAAAAAAAAAAAGTATTTGTTGCAAGCGTTTGTCTATCAAACCAATTCCCTTCACATGAGTGTTTGGAAACCTTTGTTGTGCTCCTAGATGTGGTCATTATCAGTGAACAAGTTGCCACAAGTGATAGAAACTTGCTGTGGGGAACTGCAGGGTGTTATTCCCTCCTCTCTGGGCAATGCTGGCACTGCCAGGCTCAGATCCTTCACTGCAGGATCCCACTTGTTCCATAGATCTACTGATTTTCAGCAGGCTCTGGTCCTCACAGGGGAAAGGACCATTACTGCAGAGTATAGTGAACACGTGAGAGGATGCTCACAACACTTTGAATAGTCTCATGAACACAGGCTCCCAGCCATGCTCACAGGGACACAGGGACCTTCTGCACTGCAGCTGGGTCAAGCCTTAGCCATGAATGTCTTTCTGACAAACCTTTGGTTGTAGCTCCAGTAGCCAGCAGTTGTGCCCTTTCAAATTCCCACTTTGTTTTGACATCTTCATCACAACCTACTGGCAGGATGCTCTTTGCACACATTTTTGTCTACATTCACATAACACAAACAAGATCCTGCTCTAACAAATAATTTTTGAGTGTCTTCAAACCACCTGTCTGTTGCATCTTTTTCTCCTTCTTGGACAGTCCATCAAGTACAGGAACATAAGTTCTTTTTTTCAGACAAATAATATTAATAATATTAATAAGATTTCAAAACATCTAACAATGGTACTGAGGAAATGTATTAGTGAGTTGGACTTAATAAACCTGTCAAGTGATTTGGTCCCTTGCATTTATCCATATTTCCAGAAACTTGGTAATCTCTTATTTCAGAGAAGACGCAGATGCTTTTATAGCTCCATAACTATATATGTTCCTTGGGATTTTTTAAGTTTATCACTGGGCCAGAAAGACATGATAGAAACCTTTCTAAATGTCATCTGGCTTAGCATAAAGGTCTATTAATAAGGACACAGCACTTTAAAAAAAAAGGCCCTCAAAATACCCAAAACCCATACACTTGTCAATGTTTTACCTACATCTGAAATTAACAAGATGTTCTGAAAAACCAAACTCCAACAAAAAATGAAAAGTGAAAAACAATACGACAAAATTTTCTCCCACTCCTAGGACCAATATTTTTTAGATTTGGTGATTGTCAGATTGGAGAAAAAAATAGAAATTAAAAACAATGCAGGAAAAATACACATCTGCCACATCTTTGGAAGAGTTCAGGCACAGAAACAAGTGCTCTGTTAACATCTTAATTAGTGATGATTAGTCAGTAATCTGAAATCTTAAAATTATCACATTTGACAAAAGGTTATTTCCACTTTTAACTGGTCTCTATCTGCTTACTTAGATTGATTTAAAAAAACTCTTTCAGCTGCTTAGGTAACTCAGTTTCTGATGTTCTTTGCTAATTTTTTTAGATAATATTTCTCAAGAGGCCTCATGTAATTAAAGAGGTTTTAATCACTAAGATCCTGTAGTGAAGGAAGGCTGCTAATGATGCGCCAGAGAGTGCTCAGTATGCCACAGAACCTAAAGGAAGTTACGGATCTTCCTCAGGGGTGTTCCCTCCTGCACTCAGACTGTCTAACCTGGCAGAGCAGGCAGTGCTGGGGAACTGCAGAATGGATATCCCAGCCTACAAGTTCTCCAGTTTTAATAAAACAATGGCTGACATCTCCTGCTGTCTGTTCAGCTGTGTGATAGCACACGATGTCCCCGAGCACTGTGCCAGCCCCGCCACAGCACCAGGCTGCTTCACAATCATTCCTGGACTTCTTTCTCCAACTTGCACTCAATACAGCAAGACATTATTCCTTATTTCCAGTTGGAGAACTGAAGTGACAAAAAGTCTGAGATGAAATTGGAGATCTAATCCTGCCCCACAGCTCAGTTCACAGCACTGGTCCCTGCTCCAGCCCTACCTGGCTTTCCTGGTGCTGTAAGGAGAGGAGAGCAATGCAGGACCTCTCCACGGCTGGGATGAACTGCAGAGGGCTGTTCCAAAACATCCTGCAGTGAGGTTTTTCCACAGCTCTGCTGCCTCATAAGTCATGTCAATGCACAGAAGGTTTTGTGAACCTTCTGTTTCAGGAAGAATTTGAAATCACCTGCAATACATCAACACAGAAAGAAAATTTATTTCGTCTTTTAGAAATAGTGGCAATGTCTTAATTTCTCAACTGAATATCACAAACTAAAGCATCAGTTAATCCTAGGTGGAGACCACAAAGCTGAAGCCTATCCCATATACCCACAGCCACACAGGATCAAAGGAAAACAGCACAAACTGCAGACAAGTCCTGGACCAAGGGGCAGCCCAGTCTAACACCCTACACTCAGCACAATCCCACTTGAGCTTTCAAAACAGCATGTAATACATAACCTACCTGGAAATTAATTGACAGCATATGAACTGGAGTTTAGAGGGAAAAAACAGTGGTTGTTGATGAATTTCCAAGTAAGAGACCTTGCCCTCTCCAAAGCTGGAAGGTATCCAAATGTAGTGCTAGAACAAGAATAGAGAGCAGTTTACCTGGGAGCTAAACCTTTATTCAAGTTAATTGAAAAACTCCTTCCATTTTAAGTGGTCTTTAGCAAAACTGATTCTTAGTTCATGGTTTTACCAATTGTAATTTTTTGTTTGTATCCATTACTTATACTCTAAATTATTTTATAGCCCCCTCATTGCTAAGGTAGTGTGCATTTTGGTGTTCACAAGAGACAATCTAGCCTGCTTGAATGCATATAATATAAATATACTATTATTGGACCAAGAGCTTCTATTACCTTTCTTGGACATTATGAGGCATGAAACAAGCCCAAGAAGTTCATTATCTCTTGCAGAAGACAGGTAATGGCATACAATGCTACAGTTCCTTTTGTTCTGGAAAGGATGAGTTTTATCATTATTTAGGTCCTCAGCCTTTGCACTTCAGCTAGGTGTGTTCTGCTAGCCACACAAATTTCCAACCAAAGCTGAGTTCAGTATGTGTGCAACTTTTCTGAGTCCCAAAAGACACTGCAACATTTGGTACAGCCAAACATCTTGCTTAATTCATTATTCACTATTTTACATTTTGTCAGAAACCCAGTCATGAAGTGAAAGAATTTTTTAAAAAGTCAGATAAAGAAGTTAAGCAATCACACCTTCATCAACAACATAAATAAATCAGAAAGCCCATATGCTGGAATTCAGGAATCCAAGTTATATGACGAAAAGATTACACACAACAGAAATAGCACCAAACCCAGGATAAAAGGGGCACATTTCCAGTGAGTAATTGCCACAACTAGTACTGCATGCTTTTTTCTCTTAACATGGAGCTTTATTAAATGTGACAGTAAACATCCCTTCCTGATGCTTCCTGTAAACTTTCACTCCTCCTGGAAACACAGTGGTGATCAGGGATACATAAAAAGCTTTGCTGTCAGAGCTCCCCACCAAACCCTACAATTTATGTAGCAAACTGCCCAATTTTTCCCCTCCCAAGACTGTACTGCACTGAACCAAGAGAAAAATGCAGTCTTTGCCATAAGTCCTTGTACTCCAGGAACTGCAGAATAGCACTGCAGAGCAGGACTCTGGTGATTCAGCCTGGGGATAAGAGCTGTACTCTCACTAGGTCAAAAGTTGGAAAAGCCTCTTGCAACCTGCACAAAGAATGAAGTGGCTTTGTAGCTTTGGCAACCCAGCTTTAGCCTTTCTATTACATCACCAGTGGAGAAGCATCACTCTTGCTTTTTCTTTTAATGGATCTGACCGACTTAAAGTTACAAACCTGATTTTATCTGCACAAGTATCTTTAGCAGACATTACAGGAGTCTGAGAAGAAGGCTGAGCCTGCAGACAGCAGATAAAAGCCTCTGCTTGGAGACAATGGGGAGACATGGAAGCTGGAGGGATGGGTCTGGCTTGGGGTTACTGCAGAAGGTGCCCCTGGAGAGATGGGCTGTAGCTACCAAAGAAACAGGCACTGCTGTGAGTCTGAAAACAATGAAATTAGAAGTCTTTCTTAGCAAAAATATGACCACTGTTTTCATTAAAGTACAAAGAATTCCAATTCTTCACATTCAAAATACAGCTGATCGCAAATAATGAAAGTGCACTTTGCTATAAAACAGTTTGTGCAAATCTGCTCTGAAAGGATACAGAACTTGATAAAGTATCATCCTCTGAAAGGATACAACCCACTGATAGTGGGTTTCAGTATACTTATTTTAAATTTTCCATGGGAAACCCTAATTATTGCCAGATAGTGGCTCTATGCTGCCACTGAATAAGGTTTGAACATAATAATCCATGGGAAATGAGATATTAATAATAAATTGGTTACAAAACACAGAGGATTTATATATTGGAAAATAGCCTCTATCATCAAAGTTAGGTTTTGTTGTTATTTGAAGAGACTGGCTAAAATTATTGATGGAGTATATTAATAGTGCCACAAAGTTGGAAACTGTAGGTAGGAAAAATACAAGAGAAAATAGAATGTTATCAGAGGCCTTCAGGGTAGAAACCTGCCTTTGAATTCCTAAATGTGTGATAAGAGGAGTTATATAACACGTGTAAAACTCAATAAACAAAGACTGTCTGCTCAGGAAGCCCTAACTAGGCCATTTGTTTCCTATGAGGAAGAATGTTTAAAGTTATTTCTCTGTCAATGGCAAAACTATGAATAAACCTAATGAAAAATATAGAATGTGTGGGTGTAAAGAATCTGCTTGGCTATAACTCTACTTTTGTTTAACTATAGAAGTATTGCTAGTTAAGTGTTCCTCCCTCTGAAAATATTGCATCTGGTAAGATATCTCTCTATTCTGATCACCCACTGGGTGGGGAAAAAAAGAAATGGGGCACTGGAAACAACCAACATCTTCCTGGTAGTCTAAACCCCTTCACTTGATGAAAATCTCCAGGAAAGAAAATCCTCCTTAGCCAGCTTAACAGTACCCTGATTAGCTGCTGATGTCTGTTGTAAGACTTCCTGTGTCAGGGGAACAGTGGAGAGCTTTTAAAAATGTTACCAAAGGTCATAACTTGGGAATCAGCATTCAGTCTTTCAAACACTTTACACTGCAGCAAGTGGCCACTTGCATTGTTCAAACAGTGCTCGAGTGTTCCAAGGCACTGTGTGTTTTGGATGAAAGGTACTCTTGTGTTTCTAACTCCTCCTTCTGCTACGAACGTAATCTGAAGGAGTCCAAGAGCGCCCTCAGCTCCCTCTCTCTGGAAGAGTTTTCCAGGGACCCAGCCATGCTGACAGCGGAGGGTGAGAGCGGAACAAACCCGGTCACTCCCGGGTCAGCGCTGCTTGCCAAGGCAGGGGAGAAGCTGCCGCTGGGGCTGAGCGAGGGAAGGGTGAACACGGGCCAGCAGTGCACCCTTGGGGCAGTGGGTGCAAACTACAGAGCCAGCGGGCCGGGAATGCCGAGCGTTCCCTTCCCTCGCCCCGCCGCGCTTCTGCCTCCAGCCCGGCATGCCCAGGACGGAAAAGACGGGGAGAGCCCGGAGCCGGGCAGGGCTGGAGCACACCCGCCTGGAGACGGGCTGGCACAGCCGGGCAGGGCTGGAGCCGGGCAGGGCCGGAGCACACACCCGCCTGGAGACGGGCGGGCACAGCCGAGCAGGGCTGGAGCACACACCCGCCTGGAGACGGGCGGCCACAGCCAGGCTCTTCTCAGGCACCGGCCAAAGGGCAGCGCTGACAGGACAGCAGAGACACGTGCAACCAGTCGCACACACAGCAAGAATTTCTGTGGGAAGGGCAGCCACACATTGGCAGAGGCCATGGAGGTGTTGAAGATTTGTCAGAACTAGACCCAAACCAGCCTGATCAAACTTGCAAGCCGGGTAACTTACCCAGGCCTCTGCCAAGTGAAGTTTCCTGGGGACTGCGCGGTCACAGGGGGAGCTGCGGGTGCTGCACTGGCACCGCCACACTGCATCCATCACCCCTGTCTGAGTAGCGCCTGGGCAAACACAGATAGACCTGGCAAGAAAAATACTTACGAGCTTCTTCTCCTTCCATGACTTCTTATCATCTGATTTTAACAAGGACTTACAGCCGAGGGCAGTGCAGCTCTCAGCACACCAGGATTATTTTTCCAATAAATCAATAACCCGTGGTTTGAGGGCAGCCGTTGAGCCTTAAGAAATAACTCCATTAAATTAAGTCCAGCTTTGTGTGAGATACATGCTACTTCAGTTCTAACTTACATATACTCTTTAAACAGGGAAAAAAAAATCCACTCATTGCTTTAAATTTCCTACAGTATAATAATTGTTAGTCAAAAGCAGGATTTAAATTTGTTTCCAATGCTAAATGGTATTCACAGAAATGCAGGTGGGATATGTGTGTGTCTATTGTGAGCATAGTAAGAAAAGTTTATCTACAATTATTTGTTTCAGAATTTATGTAAATATTTTACCACTATCCATACTCTGACAACTGGAAAAACAAATAGAAGGATGATGCATTACTTACTTCCCAGTCAGTAAATTAGAGAGTATTATCAACTCAAGGATTTGTAAAGATCTGCAAAAAGATGGATTATGCCTGAATTCAACTTTTGAGTGGTACAAGTTTGATGATGATTTTATGCCTGAGTCCTTAGAAATGCCTTAATGAAATTAAAAAACAAAAAAAGTTTTGCCCCAACATGTTTTTATTTATTTGGGACTGCTTCTAACTCAGATTTTTTTATGGCAAGCTCCAATAGGAACTTGCCATATTTAGGAACTTGCTGTTATTTAGGAAGTTTAAAACGGATCTTAGTGGATTCTTACAGAACATGTGTATTACAATCTTACCTACCCATGTTTTCTCACAACAGACAAAATCCCATGCAGAGTTTGATGGATAGCAGTAAATTAACTGAAAATTCTTATTTGGCCAGAATTTACTTTTGAAGCAATAATAAGCTACAGAGATTTAGCTTGAAAACTATATTGTGGAGAGGGCTGCTCCTCAAAAGAGAGGAGCAGTCTCCTACCCAACAGCTCTGTGGGTGAGCTCTGATCTTTTACTTCTGCATGTGGGCCCTTAACCTCCTGTTGTACCGGGTGTGCTCTGAGCATGAGCACAGCAGCCAGGCTGAGACACAGGAAGGGACTGTCAGTGCTCCTCAGCAGCACTGCTCACCTTTGGCTTAACGGTGAAATGCTGACTGCAACTGAAACTGGAATGCAGGTGCCATACATACAGGAGTTTAGGCTGCATTTCCCTCTTCCCTCCCAACACCCAGTGAGCCAGGGCAGAATCCAGCTTTTCCAACATCAGTTCCTCCCTGGGTGGCACTAAGGCAATGCCCCCATTCGGTACTGCAGTTACTCAGCCCTGTCCTGTGTGTGCAGGAACAAAATGGCACAATCAGCCACAGCCTCCTGGAAGGAAAGTCTTCTCCTGCCCTGAAACCATCTCTTTGTTCCCAGCCTCTTCTCTCTCCCATCCCTTCATTTAATCTTACCTCCTTCTTGGCCTCAAGCTGGAACTGTGCAACATATCTAATACATAAATCAGTAACAAAGATTCCACTATGATAACAGATCAAAGTTATAAGGAGCTTCTTAATTTCAGGGCCAACTGTACCCCTCAACCAGTTCCACAGGTGCTGCACCTCATTCTTGTACATCTTCTCTCTCCACAGCTACACGGGTTCCCCTGGATAATCACTGCAGAGACCTAAATAATGAGACTTCAACAGATCAGGAAGTATTAGATCAAAAGAAGAGAGTAAGAAATAAACTGACATTTTACACACAATAAATAGCTTATCATTAGCATTCTATAAAGTGTTATGACAAACGTAATTTTGGAACTATTGACAAGAGCCTCAAAGTTAGTCTTTAATCATGAAAAGGATTTTTCCTTTGAAAAGGAAAATCTCTACTCTTGCTCTGCCACATCTGTTCTCAGTTTTGGATTTATTGGCACAGAAATTAACAAAATCACAAAGCTGATCTTCAGTCATCACCCAGGGGCTTTTTGTATCTGTTTGGGCTGTTCAGACTTTAGAGTTACTTTGATTCATATCATCGACAATCATTACTCAAATCCTTCCAATAACAGGCCCTACTTTAAATGACATTTTCTATGAAGTGTCATTTAGCCAAGGCTAGGAGGTAAATCTGCTTTCTTTTAATGTAAAGGCACTACTCTGTGAAAATATAGAATTGAATGTTATTTGAAAACAGATTAAAACAGGCTAGAATTCCTGAGCAGAGAAACTTTGAGGTTGGAAAACCAGCTTAAAATACAAGGACTTCTACTCTCCAGTTAAATCATTGCTGGATGAAGCCTGGTTCTCAGTCATGCTTTCTAGTCCATGGCTCCTTGTTTTCCTGCAAGCTCTGTCCTTTCTTGGTTACTGTACATGGAAAGTGCCCTCTGTCCTCACCTCCAAGGCTTGTCTGTCGCCTGCACTCAGCTTTTCTAGGAGGTGTTCCCAATCACCTGCTACACTCCCCACCTCTTTTAGCTCTCTGCCAGTGCCTTCTGCTGCAGGCTGCTGAGAATACACATCCACTCTTCTGCAGGGGATCCACTCTCCCATTCTGCTGGCCAGTTCCCCTGGAGCAGGGCAGGACCAGGACTTGGCCTCTGATCCCTCCAGACTCTGCTACACTCAACACTGAGAACAGACAAACCAGATAGAGCATTAGTCTGCCACACATACATTATATTGTATATGTGATATCAAGCATGCTGTGAAGAAAAACACATTTAAAATGCTTAAATACCTTCTCAAATAGGGCCATCCCTAGTCAGACCTGAAGCCATGAGGATTTTCTTCACCTTTCCCAGTAAGACCAATACATGCTGGAGCTGTTAGAAGCCCAAACTGCCAGTCTCTTGTATAGAGAGACTGCCACTGTACTTGAGTTCTCCATTATAATAATTTGAGTGTTTACTTTTATTTGAAAATGTGATCAAGCATTTTCCAGAATGGGATCACTCTCCACTCTAAGTCTTCCTTTCTAAGTTTACCTGCTTCCTGACTTTAAAACAACCCCTAACTTCTGCCGACCACAGCTATGTAAATTAAAATAATACCCAGATCCTCTGAGCCTGAGACAGAGTGATCCAGAAATGGTTCCAAGGTAATGCAGCAACCAAGAACCCAGTTTCTGAGCATTTCTGAAATTAATTGACAAGATCAAACCAGTATTTCTCATATATTTCAGAAATCAACATCCATATACAGCACTTACTAAAAGTCAGAAGAGGCATATACAGTGAAAGGTTCATGTCTTAAATGTAATCTTTTCTGGTTTTGAAAAATATTCTGTAACTAACAAGCATTTACTCATAGAATATAAACCTCTTATCAGTTGCCTCTTAAACTAAGCTCACTGCACCCACTCGATATAAACTTCAGCATTTATAAAGGCTTACAAGATCAAAATCAATTGTTCATACTTATGTTCCAAATTGTGGGGGGGAAAAAAAAAAAAAGAGCTTTTCACTTCTAAAATTTTCACACTTTCAGTCTGATAATCAAGATTATTAATATACTCCTGCTGGAATTTTATATTTTTTTTCTCTTCTTCACCATTTTTTGGGAGAAATTTCAATGCAGATAACTGCAGTTTTACATAAACTAACATCAGGGAAAGAAATTAAACATACACAACATGTGTACTGTATTGTTTTGCTTAATCTATAGGTTGTGCTTGGCTACTGTGAAAGCCTCATTTAATTTCATTTACTCTCTGAAGGAATAATACATTATTCTTTCATTATTCCTAACTGATCACCAAGTTCTCAAGGAACAAGCAGGCACTCATAATTACTGCAAAAATAATTAAATACAAACAAAATATAATCATTTAGCAAATGTAGACATCTTTGTTCTCCTCATATAGTCTATAAAACTAAATCTATAAAAAATCGTGTCTCAACCCAGACAGACCCCAGGCCTGTTCCACAGCACGGGGGCAGAGCTCCCTCCCCACCCCCTGTGCCCTCCACCCTGGCATGAGCCACGGGCACCCACAGCTGGGCCAGCAGCTGCCTCTCCACCAGCCCTTCATCCCTGCCCAAAGGCTGTGGACACTTCTTTGGCTCTAACCCCACTCTCACTCTGGTTTTTCTGCCTGTGTGTCCCTAAGGTACTGTTAGTGTGTCTGAACTTGCTGAAGCACCATGGGTGGTTGGAAGCACAGCTGTGCTTCTCACCTTACAACACCCACAGAAGGCACCAGCAAGGAAAGAGGAACATTTCAGTGGTCTCCAGTAGAGAACGAGAACCCCATTAACAAAAATTTTACACATGTAGTGACATACAACTGAATCTAGAGTGCCATTAATATCTGTAACTATGTATTTAGGGCAATGTAATTTATTCTTATACTTAAAGATAATGAGTCCTCCAATCATTTCCTACCAAATTCTCAATTCAGCTCAAAATTGCTTATAATCTGGCCAAACTACTGAACATGAAGTGTCTCTTGGACAGAAGTTGGCTCCTTCATCACCTCCTTCTTTCTTTCAAGAGGAAACAGAAACAGTTCCTGAAAACAGTTTCTAGTAAATGGCACCACTTTAACATGTCATAGCAGAGCTCATCAGCTTTATTAATTCCACTACACTGAGGTTGGCCTCCTCCCTGCATAATGTTTCAATGCTGAATCCATTGCAACAAAGGATAACTTTTTAAGGGGAAGAAATTGTATCACTGACAAACTTATCCTCTTAGTCATCCCCTTCAGTTCCCACCCCTTCATGGTTTTCTCCTTTGACTTGATGAAATCCCTTTCCAACCAACACAACAATGCCAATGAAGCAAATTGTTTTGAGAAGATTTTATAAGAACATAAACACAGTTTTCAATCCCCAAGACTCTTTTCTGAGCTGTTACAAGTTTACAGGTCTTTCTAAACTCTACTGGCATTGCCTGAAATGGCTCATAAATCCAGCCATATGGAGTGGCTGCAGGACACAGTGGGGCACGTGAACTCTCCAGAATGTTACTGAGGCCTTCAACAACAGGAAAGCATCTCTGGAAATGGGAAGGACAATATTGTGACTGCATGTGAGTTCATGAAATACTTTCCTGAATGCTAGATGTTCTTATATTCTTCATAAAGTCACTTATCACCAAGTCGACTTGAACATTTCTTTACAAGGACATTATTAGAATCAGCTAAAGCAAAGGAACTATGATGAAGTGTTATCAAAAGAGCAGAAAAACAGCTCTGTAAAATCTGCTTAATCTTAGGAAATCAAATCAAAGAACAGATCAGCAAATGAAACACCTTTAGTGCTTGCTAACAGAAAAATTTATTATAAACATCAGGTGAAGGAGGCAGAGTTTAGTAGTCTTTTATTCTCTAGAGGAATAGAATCTCAGCTCCTTAATTTACAGGCTTCTGGGGTTCGTTGGCAGATAAAAAATATGTTTAGCAAAAGAGGGATGTTTCAATAGTTTTCCTTCCACACCAAGGGAAAAAAACCTAGCAAAACTCAAAAACTTTCAATACTTTCAGGGAGAGCATAGGAAACTTCTTTGCCTCTTCAGACATAACATCCAACACTCCATCTCTAAATATGTGTTGAGTTCTCACTTCCTGAAAATATTTAACATTATTTACCCTAAAACATCCATTCCTTCTGTCCCAGGTGATATTAAATGTGTTTCTCTTATATCTCACATTTCCCCTCCTACTTTAAAAAATGATTTTATGAAGAATGGGAGAGACTGCTCTTTTCCATTAGCCCTTAAAATAATATCCAGTGTTTTGTGCAAGAGCAATTAAAAAAAAATGAGTTCTGACACAAGCCTTAGTTTTATAATAGCAAGAGAAAATGTGAAACTCAGATGGGTCTTGTTAGTGCTAAATGCACTCCTACTGACTCCAATTTTTTTTGTTCTATTAATTTATCATCTTACATTTGGAATGATTTCATAGTCTGCTAGGAAAAGGTCTCAGAAGCATGAAGCAGTGAGATAACAGAATGAAGATGCAGCTAACTGTGATATTTCAGAGCTATTTGAGTACTATTTGTGAACATACTATTATTCTAAACACAACCCTGCAGCTTTTCTGCCTACAGCACACACAAGATTGTTCAATAATAACAAACCTGACTGTCTCAGTGGGAAAACTCAGCAAACCCCCCCCACACACACACACAAGCTTCCAACTCTTACTACAATTCAGCTGGAGAAGGCCTGGAATTTATTCGTAATTGCTGTGTCTGTATTGATCAACTTTCCCAAGTCTATCCAAGTCAATCCTTGAACAGAACATGCAGCAAAATAATAAAATCAGAACAGTACAAAATGGCAAAGGTACTTGCTGACACTATAAAGAAGATTTAGTTGGAATCATGATGCCTTGTTATTTGGACTGAAAGTTGTGGCTTTCTTTTCCTTCAAAATAGAATAATTCCATGCCTCATAGTTTTCTTATTTTATCTACTTAGAATTCCTGCCAGCTACCAGTAAACAAAGGCCATGTGAGGGATACTCTGATATATGGGTACTTCTGCTTTCCAAGATAACAAGTGTTCAATAGCACTATGAAAAATGTGCCTTTACCAGTAGTCAGTGAAAGACACACATGTGGAATATCCAATATTCTTTATGAGCTTCTGCAGTGCTCACAAAAGAAGCATTAACTACAGACCCAGTTACCCCTTACTGAGCAGAGCTGTAAAATTAAGAGCCCAAAGAATAGAGCTGAACTGGTTTGGGGCAGTTTGGGTTTTGTTTTTTTTTCCTTTATTGACCCCAGTGGTCAGCAAAGGCAATTCACTGGATGGCACTCCTGAATTAGTAACACACTGAGTAAGCAACATTTCCAGAGTGCTCACAAGCTCTGGATGCCAGAAACACTGTACCAGAATGACATTCTGTAGGTTTAGTGACATTCCAGGCACTGATAGAAAATCTGTGCTATTTACTGGTATTTTTGCAACAATTCAGTTGGGATTGTTATGTTCGCTTGCTTCCCTTTTTCCTTAATTATGATTTTTGTCTCTTTCTTAGCACTGCTTAAACCCACCTAAGGATTGGTGGGGTTAAAAGAGGCTCCATGTCTGTGCATAGAGCTCCAGTGATTGAGTCACATGTGTAGGGAGTTCCCTTCTTTTCTGCAGAAAATACTACTAAGTATGCAACTATCTGCCTGTGCTATGATACACAGAGAATCATAAATTACTTCATCTGAACATCTTCACACTGCTGTGAAATTTTCACATTGTTGTGAAAAATACAGGATAAGTAGGGTTAAAACCCAGCATGCTATCTCAGAAACACAACTGCGAAGTGCCAGGAGGCACAATCATTGCAGAAAATTGTTCCTATTCAATAATTATTATGATAAAAATTACTTACCAAAGGTCATACCTAACAAAATAAAAAATCTGGAAAAAAGAAGAATTTTAACTTTTTTTAAGCATAACAAAGTGTTTCAAATTTCTTTCAAGTGTTTTGAACCAGAAATCAATGCAGAAATTCATTCTTTGGAGGAATGCCAAAGTAGCACATTATTGGTTAATACCTGCATCCAGCTTCAGTCCAAAGATATGAAAATGCCCATGAACATCCCAGCAGTGAGCCAAGGACTCAGCAATGCAGATTCTCTGAGCTGCTGAACCCACAGGAAAGCGACCTGAGCAAACTTCTGTTCTCCCACATCACCAAACCTCCCAGGTCACCAGGTAACCCCCTCAGGAGCTTCAGGGGATGAATTCCCATCAGGCTGTGGCTGAATGGCACAAACGTGCTTGGCCCTTCTCTGAGTGAAGTGAGATGAAGCCCACCTTTAGCAAGCCCTTGTTGAGAGCAGAAGTGGATCTGCCTGAGACCCTGTGCTTTACCTGGGCTGAGGTAAACACTTCTGAACTCAGTATGTTCCTCAGGAGCCTTCCTGCAAGTCCTGTGGAATCACCATGGTAATATTCTCCACTTACAGTAATTATGCTTACACATCCTCTCTGAATACCTAAGGGAGTTATAATCTGCAGAAATAAAAGTAATTATATAGCTGTCAGTGTAATACAGCTGTGGACAGCTGTAAATAAACTGTTTACATGGGGATGGAGACATTGCAAAGCTTTAGAAAAGTGTGCTATGAAGCAAAAAAAAATGACCCTGTTCCAGTTTGAGAGAATATGCAATTTAATCCATGCAGAAATCTTGTTCATCAGTAATTACAGAAGGAGATAAGAGTCTCCTCAATTAAGATCTGTCAGAAAATGGTTTTATTTTATGTGTTCTGAGAAGTATCACATCAAAAATAATTAGAGAGAGAGAGTCATAAAAACTTTCAGATGTTTTAAATGTATTACCTCCTTTGAAATTTAGAAAAGCTTCAAAGAAATGTCAGGTTCTGGCATGCTCTGGAAAGAGCACTTGTATGTAAAAAACAACAAGGCCTTTTCCCCTAGTTTTATATATATTTGATGGAGGCACTCAAAATGGAATAACTGAAAAACTAATTTAAATTCAGACATGGTTCTTTGGA